ATACGGTCTTTTGTTCCGGTGCTCCTCCGAAGGGGATTGGTTGAACTTCTTCATCAGAGGAGCTCTCATTAGATCGATCTATTGGCAAACTACCACTATGGATTGATTGGTTGTTGAATCCAACTCTATGTATATTGGCTGTTCACTATCCTCCGTGTCTTCTTCGGCAGTTGTGGGATTTGAGCCCAAAAATGGCATAGGTCTCTAACATGACGAGGTGTTATCGACCCTCACTGACTGCTGACTCACCACCTCGGTCACACGTCCGGTTCCAAATTTGGTTGTGCATTTACCACGTGGAGTTTAACCCAGACAATGTCCCTTCCTTGTATTCCCCTTCGTTATTTGTGATATGTCGATGCCTCTCACCCGGACGTGGTATGTGTGCAGTACATCAGCCGGTGCCGTGGAAGGTGAAAGGTTGTCCTTTGTGACGTTATGCCAGTAAACCGCTTCCAAGACTGAACAATTTTTTCTGGCCGCTATGGTTTTGACGCTTCTGTGGTTGCGTTCAAACAATGCCATTTCCAGGCGGCACGTGACCGGAACCTCAAATGCACGCCCCAGCTGTTCACAAATTCCTAAATTGTCTGCAAGTGAGCGTGGTGTCATTATCAGTATTTGGTTGATAGGGCCTCGTAGGTAGAAGACTGTCTCTAGCTGACGAATGACACCAGCAGAGTCTTGCCCCGTCTCAGTGGCCGCCATACTGCAAAATGGGAGGGACCACAGTCAATGAGCGTAAGAAAATGGCTACCATTGCAATGGGTTACGTCCATTGCTAACCTGCTCCAGTTTTTTTCACACCAAATTTCCTTTCTTCCAATGCACTGGTGCTGGATCGATCGATTGGCAGGCTTCACAGGTTCTAACGACAGATTTCACCAGTTCTTTAGACACCGTTGGATCTACAGTCCTAGCAAAGTACATTGTTCCTGCGTTTGCTCAACTTGTTGCAGTGACACAACTCACTTGCGGTTCTCCTCCTTTCTTGTGCATCTCCAACCAGCGTTGCGGCACTCTGGTGAGGCTGTCAGTTCCGGTTCTGACAAGACTTCACCAGCGTCACAGTCATAGTCAGTGCGTACTCCTCCACCAAAGCTTCGCGAGTGTCTCTTATTGACCGCCTCATCAGCATTTCACCCGCTGCCTTCGTGTTCACGCCGCGTCCTTCCTGTCAGGGTGTCAGACACCCACCGATGCACACATGCTGAATGGTGACCACATGCATAACTGGTGCCTGCCACTGCAGGGCAAGATTCACGCCTTGATTACCGCATCAAGCTCAGCAAGATTAATGTGTTTGGCATCATTGGTTGGACGCAACCAGCAAGCATCTTGCGGCTCCCATTGTGGCCGCGGAGCTTGCATCCACCCAAACTGTCATTTCATTGCCGTTCAACAGTCTTTTTGACAGGATCTGATTCCCACTCTCTGGCCACTGTTTCCTCCAGCATACGTCCAAGAGGGGCATCCTTTATCTATGTCCCATCCTTTGGTTAGTGTACTTGCATAGCGCTTAATAAATGCAGTTGCCACCCTAAGCCAACCGCTTTTTGGGAAATGACCCACAAGACAAAGGAATGCGGGTCAACTTTTTGAGCAATTTCTGGAACCTGAAAGGGAGTTGCTTTCTTCCCAGACTTGCAGACCCAGGAAGTTCCGTCTCTCAATCGCTCCGGGACAACAGACTAGCCCGTAATCTGCAAAGTGCTGTCTTCAGCGCTGCAGAAACTAGGCCTTCATTTATGAAGGGCACTCTTAATGTCCTGATCCTGGGGCGTTATCATGTCGATCACTGACTTCATGACAAGTGGTGCCACATTCAGGCCAAAACCAAACACGTAAAGGCAAAACCGCTTGCCCTTAATGACCACTGTTTGGCGGCCATAGCGAAGTGTGAATCTGTATGCGCATTTCTCAAATCCAACAGCGATATCATCTCCTTTCGCCGCCATTCTCGTAATTTCTGCGCACACACCTCAAGCGTCAGCCGTGAATTTCTACAAAGCCGTTCAACTCCCGATAGTCAAGTTCGGACCTTCAAAACCGCCATTAAGGGAATTAATCCCATTAGGTGGGCCAAGCTCTTTCTCAGGATATGGCAGTAGCCATCCGTCTCGCTGCCATAACAAAAAGATATGCATCCCGGACGGCCAGGTACTGTGTACTCCCTGTACTTTATTGACCAACTTGCTAGGTGAATAACCACTCGCCCACTTCCACAATGCAGTCCACGTTTTGTGCCGGGTTAAACGTCACTCTAAAGTCAGGCTTGTTGATAACAATGGCGGCACATGTGATCATCGCCTGATTCGGTCAAGTAGACACCTCCGAAAGCACTTTGATTGCATCAATCCCGAGAAGAAGATCGAATCCTAGCAACTGCCCTTCCCGACCAGAACCTCAACAACGGGCTGAATATGCCGACGCCCAATTTAATTTTTTAGTATCCACGGCACTTCAGGGTCTGGCAGTCAACCTCCCACCTCTTCCTGCCTCCAGCAGCGACACAGTCTTGCTCACCAGCGTCTGTGAGCATCCTGAATCCACCAAGCTGTGCACTCTACTCCATCTACAAATACTTAAACGGTGGGTAACTTCCGGTTTTTACTTGCTCATGACGCCTTCTCCCCTTGGGCGTTTCCCTGGCATTCTGAGGAAATGTGTCCAATGCCGTTGCATTGAAAAACACCGCTTGTCGCGACCAGACCTCTGCGTTCTGTTTGACCCTCTCCTGACGCGTCCTTTGTACAATCCTTCGCCATATGGTTGGGTCCAGAGCACTTGTAGCAGGTAATCGTTCTGCTAACAGGTTTGGCAGGGGAACCTCAGCTTCTGAGCGTTAATGAAACGGATTTGGCGACCAATACCTGGCACCATCATCCGTCATAATAGCCCTTGCTCGGGTCAGAATCTGTTCTAGATTCATGTTCCATCCTGGAAGAAGCTTTGAGAAGCTGCCTAACATGATGTGGCAGTTGCAAATGCACATGCCATAGATCAGGTAGCGGTTCTACTATAAACGATGCATTTCAGCCAGGAATTCATCCACAGTTTCCCCAAAAGACGTCATCCCATAAATTGGTCGAACGCATTAAAAGTCGTATGCAGTCATAAGGGCCCGTTTAATTTGTTCTGCGTCTGCCCTCTGCTCTCCACTGAGTTGTCTATATACAGCAAGGGCACCGCCTCAATCGTAAAGGCAAGATGTTTTCGATCTTGTCCATGGCACAAAGTTATGCAGACCAATTTCACATTTTCTATCCATTCAACAATGGGCATATCCGTTTGCGCCGCTGAATTCTGGAATCAAACGGATGTCAAAGACCTTGCCTTCCATTTTGAAGAATCAATATGCGAAATAGCTTGGAGGCTTAATGAAGAAAACAGTAACCAGCGAGTAAATTCAAAGCTCACTCAGCTGGTATTTCAAACTTGAGTCGTTCCTTCTTGAGTTCTGTCTCCAAATCACACTAACTGCCCGTTCTAGCAATCAACCGTGAACGTCCCTCGAAGAACTTCGCCGACTTGGAAAAAGTAGTTGTTTTTTATAGTTGTTCATGTACCCATAATCCCTTGCATCTTCCTGTGATCCCATAATTCATTGCGTCCATGTCCCATAATGCATTGCGTCCTTATTGGATAAAAACGATGCCAGTCCCCCTCATTCTTTTTATGTTATCTGGCGAGGATGGATTACGGCAGAGCGGTAAGTGCTTTTTTTTTTCTCCTCATTTCAACTGCAGTATTTTTACATGCTAAGCAAATACGGGCCTTTAGTTGTGCTCGTCCCAGGTTCTGTCTCATGTCCGCCATTGAATTAAAGAGTATGTGAGGAATCTACCATAACTGTAATTACTCATTGAAACAATTACAGTAGAATGGCTGCTGTAACCATTGTCAGTTTTGATTGAAGCCATTTTAGATTTGACTACAGGGAATGAACTAAGCTACATTTGAAAACCTAGTACTATTAAATTTTGAATTAATTTTCTTTTAATAGTCTAAGTTAGCCCAGCTTCTTTTAAGTGTAGCCCAGCAAATTCTAAGTAGGAGTCTTTTTTTTTAATATGTCCTTTCATCCCAAACACAACAATAATGCAACTAGAATGCAAGGGGTTACTGAGAGTGGAAGAGAATGACAAGCTTTTAGTGAGGATAAAGGACAATAAAAGAACAGGGTCCAGGCAGACAGAAGATAGTGATTGATGTTACATTTAAATTTATGAAATTTGTAGGTGGCAGGTAAACAAGAAATTGGAAGGAACCAATAACATTACAGTCCCTTCTTTGTATATAGGACCAAAGTAGCCCAACCAGCTCACCGTTTCAATTTGACATCAGATTAATTGATAAAAGTTAAGATTCACTCAAACAATTTTTTTTTCCTAATTTTCATTGTCATTAGGTAAGTCAAAAATTTAATAAATTATCAGTGTAATGTTATTAGCTCAATTCAGTGATACAAATTTCTGGTGAACAAATAGTTTTAAATCACTGTATTGTGATTATTTTCCTTGGATAGAAAATGGATAACAAGTAATGCTCCAAATGTGATTTCTTAATGAAATACAGAAACAAAAGAACATAATGATTAAAATAAATTATTAAACTATAAGATAAATTGTCATACAAGAATATTTACAACAACTTGGTATTTTCTCATTAATTCTGTTTCTTGCAGAATGTTTTTAGTATTGCTTCATGATAATTCTAAATTGAGTGATTCATTTTCTATGGCTTGATAAGCTGTAGAAAACAAAGGTTATTTAATGCCATAAAATATTTTTAGATTGTAAGAATTTTTTTTTTAGAGATAATAATAGTTTTTGTGATACAAGTCTTACTAATTAACTCATAGCTGGGGGAGACAGATAAATACTTTTCCCTAAGGTATTTGCACATAAGTGAATATAACTAACCAAATAGGAATTGAAATATGACTCACCAATTAAAAATTATGAGCCATTATCCATTACACCACCCACACATCCAAGCTTACAGCACCTGATATTCTCAAGCTGTCACCCATCTAGGTACTGACCAGGCTTGACATTACTTAACTTCAGTGATTATATGAGAACAGGTGTTTCAATGTGAGGTAGCCATAAGCAGATGATAATTCTAAAGCACCCAAAGACAGGAATGCATCTTTTTAAAAAAAAAAATCTTTTCACCCCAAGCAAAGCAATAATGCCACCAAGATGCAAGGGGTTACTGGGAGGGAAAGAGAATTAAAAGACTTTAGGGAAAAGAACCAAAAACCCGATCCTAAACAGGAAACAAGTGATAGAACTACTCCAGTTCAAAAGATGGGAAAGGAATGTGAAGTGGGTGATAGACAAACCTATCTACTCCTATTGGAAATAGCTAATCAACTTAGATTCTCTTAAAGTTGTCATCTAATCTACTTTTTAATTTATGTAATTTTATTTTGGTAATGTTTAACCTTTGTACCCAAAAAAAAAATGGTCTCGACACCACTATTACTGTTGACTACCTTGCCAATGTCTATGGTTTTAAAAAGTGATGATAAAAATTTTAATAATGCCCAAACATATGAAAGTGGATTTAGATATTTTTTTCATTCTTGAGAATTGACAATAAAAATACTAAACACTATTTATTAGATTGTATATTTATATGAATAATTTTATATTTACAAGATTATGAAAATGTGAACAAATTATAATGAAATATTTATTATTTACCATTTGATAAAGAAATAAATATAAATATTTTTTATTCATAAATTTATAAAAATGTCTGAACAAGGAAATTTAAATAAACATGACAAATAACTTTAATTATAAACTTTGAAAAAATGAATTTATGGGCAATTTTTTTCATTTGCTCTCACCACATAAATTCATTAAAATAGGTTGACAACATTCTTTTAATTTTAGATTTTAGGCAAACACGCAATATTTTGTGTGTATTTCCCTGTTCATTGAATGGACAAAATCTTCTTTGCGTATAATTACAAAAAGTCTGTCATTTTTACTATGAATATTGCATTGTAGCTTGTTTACAAAATTTTGATAATTTTGATAATTTTTTATGAATTTCTGAATAAAAAGATTTTTCAAATCTATTTCTTCATAACATGTTAAATAACAAACCATCATAAAACATAAATAATAAATATTGCATTGTACTTGGTTCACATATTTTTATAATCTTGTAAATAAAAATTCCCAAGGGAGTCAAAAGTGCATACATTAATAGGAATATCAAGAGAATAACCGACCTTTTGACACATTGCTTTTGTGAAGGCACAAAGGTTAAACATTGCCTTTATCATTTTCCCATTAATAAAATTAAAAAACAGGCATACCCTGGAGATAGTGAGATCAACATCCAAAATATGCATATTGCAGATATATAAATATTAATACACTTTTTATACTGAACAAGCCTATGTGCTTGTTCAGCATCAGAAGTGTGTTAATATTTATTTCAGTATAAAAAGTGTAATGTATGTATTAAAAAAAAAAAAAAAAAAAAAATCATCTTTAAGAGCAGCTTTCATTATCTTGAACACTTCAAACTCAATGACTGAATACATAGATTTTGATCAGTAATATTTGCCAATTCTTTAAGGTGGGTTTCATTAAAACACACACACACATAAAGGCAACTATATCTCTATATATATGAACACAAGGATATATGATTTAGGTAAAAGCTGCCCAAGTCATAAAATCAGTACAAAAAGTAATACATTATTTGCAGATAATACCAAATAGAAAAGATGAAGAGAGAAAATGCTACTTACATCATATGCTCCTGCCTTGATTTGTGCATATAACCTATGTTGGTCTTCATCCCAGAATGGTGGATAACCAACTAATAGAATATATAAGATAACCCCTGAAAAAAAGGGAAAGAAATCATAGATTAAAGATATGAAATCCCTTGTTTAAGAAGACAGCCTGAATTTATGTAAGACTATGTTACAAAGAGGATCCCACATCTAAAATCATTAAATAAAAAAAAAATAAAAAAAATCAATATTTTCTTGATACTGACAAATGTGATGGGTAGAGGAAAGTTTAATTGATTGATTTGTTTTTTATGGCTTATCAACCATTTACAGGTTATTTAAAGCCAGAAAGTATTTTTAGATTCTAAGAATTTTGTGGGGAGATAATAATGATATACTGATTGATACATGTCCACTAAGAGTAATGGATTTGGGCTCAGATTGAGGAATCAGAGTGTGGAGTTCAAATTCCAGTTGAGTTCATTACATTCACTTGTGTTGTAACCTAGGGAAGGTTACTGAATAGAATAATCACACAAATGTTGATAAAGAATGATAATACTTAGGACAAGAACAACACATACAAGATTCGCCAGTGGTGTGTAGAAGTAGTAGTCAACTGCTAGAAGTGAGTTACATGAATTCCACAAAGAATCTCCAACTGCAGACCAACATACAGTATTTACTACTGTATTTATGTGAATGGGGACATACCCATTATCATCCGTAAGTATGCTACAACATTAAGCTTAGCTTAATACAACTCATGCATGTAAGTATGGTTCATTCAGTGAAAATAAAACATTTTACTATTTTTTCTTCCTATCTTCATTACTGAAGATTGGGAGACTATGTACAACGGTTATTATTTTGAATTCAGAGTTGTCCTCATAAACTGGTTGCTATTTTAACTATAGCTGGGAGGAGAAGAGCTGAATTTATACTTTTCCTAATGGCATTTGTAAGTGAATGTAACAAACTCTAGTGGTCCCAAATCCTTCTCTGACCATTACTTGAAAATTGGCTACCAAGCTGCAGCTCATCAACTCATCACAAGGGAGAAGCTGATGCCCACTTGAATAGTTGTTATGAAAGTAACTAAGGAATCATATTGTTGTAACCTAAGGAAGGTTACTGAATAGAATAATCACACAAAGGTTGGTAATGAATGATAACACTTAGGACACGAACAATACATATAAGTTTCACCAGTGGTGCATAGAAGTAGTAGTCAACTGCTAGAAGTGAGTTAAATGAATTCCACAAAGAATCTCCAACTGCAGACCAACATACAGTATTTACTACTGTATTTATGTGAATGGGGACATACCCATTATTGTCTGTAGGTATGCTACAACATATATCTAACCTGGTTTTGAAATCAGAGTGATCCTTCTCCTAGACAGATTGCCAACCAAAGTTAATGAGCTCTGTTAACCCATATTCCAAGGGGTAGTAAACTATGCAATGCAAGGTATTTAATCTACTCGCATACCAGATGAAATTTATTATAATAGAAATGGTTGCAAGATTAGTTTGGTAACCATTACTCCATATCGATGTACCCTAAACAGCATAGTTATAACTGTTACGTCATGAGTCCCATAACCCATTAGGGTTGTAGGAAGATCATGTACTGAAGGCAGAGTGTGTCTAGGGAAAGAGACTGGGAGAGAGCACATCATTCTTCGGATTAGTTTTGAATTCTACTAGTTACCACCCAAGGCAAGAGAATTTGGTCTACCTTGCTAATTAACCCATAGCTGGAACAAGATAGAGTATTGACTTTTTCAATGACATTCATGTGAATAGAAGGAAACAGAATCAGCTAAAATTTGAGAATAACTTGCGGATTTCACTTTCTTCGTTGATAACTGTTACACTATTTGCACAGGTTGTCATAATCTCATGCAAAAGCATTATATTTAGTTCAATATATTGCAGAATTCCCAATGTTAATAATTATTAATATTTCCAATGTTAATAATTACTAAAAGACAAGAGAAGTTACTTACCACATGCCCAAATATCTACAGGTTTTCCATAAGGATCTTTTCTTAATACTTCTGGTGAAAGGTAACCAGGTGTTCCAGCAAAACCTGTAAAGAAAGGAAATCAAAACACCATAATAGCAGGGTTTACATCTAATGAAAATGCTAGTTGCAGTTATGATACAAAATTCAGTCAAATACTATAACATTGCATGAAATTAGATTGTTGATTTACTGTAAAAATATTGCAAGGAAAATTTTTATATGTGAATACAAGATACTTTTTGGGGGAGAGTATACAAGCATTTAGGTGGGTCTTGAAGCAATAAGTACTATTTTCTTATTTTAATGATGCATTTGTTATATGATAAATTTGCTGTCTTATTAAAATCAACCTTAAGTCACTGAAAAGACCCAATATCGATAAAAAGATAAAAATAAAACAGGAGTATCTAAAAAGAACTCCTTAAAAGGAGGAACTGGTACTCTAACGCATCAGACAAAATAACAATTGATTCTTAAAGTACAAATACAAAAATAGATACATTGAAATTTATAAATTTATTCCAGTACTAATTACTGTTATTTTCAAAAGCATGTATACACTGACAAATATATATATTATTTTTTAAAAATCTTCAGAGAGCCAGTGAAACTTGTTTTTCCTTCTACCCATTTGCCAAAAGATGCTTGTCGCTTGATTTCAATCTGGGATAAAATGGATAAAGACAATCATAGAGCAATGCTAGTATGTATATGAGGTCTGATCAAAAAGTATCAGGACTGTTGTGATGATAACAGAGCTAAAAATACATGTACACAGAGTGAAGCCACTTGGCACAGATTGACTTTAAATTCTGTCGTGCATACACACTAAGTTATAACACTCTTGCACACTTCCATTGTTTATAGCAGTGGCTCAAAGAAAAATGTTTAGAGTGTGGTCATCTCACAACACCTTAGGGGTTCTATCAGTGACCATGACTTGTGCAGTAGTTTTTGGCCAAGCACAATATTCCCTAGGTTTGACAATATATTCCCCCAGACTTCATCTCTTGCAACTTTTTCATTTTCAAAAATCAAATCCCATTTGAAAGCAAAAAGATTTCAAGATGTCGAGGAAACCCAAAAGAATGCAATAAGGCAGCAGCTTGCTATCCAAAAAAAAAAAGTAGTTCCAGGAATTCCATCAATGAAAATGACACTAGATAAACTGTGTGTATTCAAAAGAGGACTACTTCAAAGGAGATCAAATGCCAAATTGATATGTGTTGTAATTTTCTTTTTATAATACCAGCCTTGATACTTTTTGATCAGACCTTATATAAATTATAAAACTTGTTGTAAGAAAAAAGAAAAACACTAAAGAGAGCTAATTAAAAATTGCCAGGTTTAATGATACACAAATATTTTCCGAGTTATGACATAATGACCTAAGAATAGTATTTACTATGAAATAATCCAAAATAGATTGATTTGTTTTTTATGGCTTATCAACTTTTTGAAGGTTATTTAAAGCCAGACAATATTTTTACATTGTAATAATTTTGTGGAAATAATAATAATAATTTACTGATACAAGTCCTACTAATTAACCCATAGTGGGGACAGTGGTGAATTCATACTTTTCCTAAGGGTACTTGTGCTTATGTAAATATAATGAACCTGACTGGAATTGAAAATTGGAGAGACAAATTTCAATTCCAAGCCATCATCCATTACACCACCTGCACATCCAAGCTTACAGCACCTGTTATTCTGAAGTAGTTATCCACCTAAGTACTGACCAGATTTGATGTTGCTTAACTTTGATGATTGCATGTGAACCAGTGCTTCAATATGACATGGTTCAAGTGAAACCTCACCCTATAATTTTCATCAATTCAAGAAAGTCCACAAAGAAAGAGTCAACACTAAAGAACTTTAGTAAAACAAAAAGGAAACTGGTTTTGAAATCAAACACTTCATGACATGACAATAAACAACATCTGCATCCTGGGTAAGACAATGAACTACGCCCAACAGTAAGGTCCTCTGATAGGAGGTTTTGAGGAACATGGAACCACCTCTTAATTGCTGGAGTTTCTAGGTCCACCCTGACCTGGGGTGGTAGCACCTGTTAGGGTCCCAGCTATGGGTAAATAGTTAACACCCCAAAGTTGGGTCAAAACAAAAGTTTAAAAATAGGTTTTAATACCAGATATACTTTGTAAAATAATTATTACCAGCAATACATTTTTGAAAAAAAAAAATTACCAGTAATAAAAAATTTGTCGGCATTAAATAACCCAATGAGGTTGATATACCGTAAAACAAACCAAACTCTTCTCTACCACAATATCTTCAGTTACTAATTCTGAAGGATTAGTATGATGTCTTGCCTATTATAGCAACAAGTATTAATATTACCAAAGAAGAGTCAAACTGGACATTACTTTCAGTATATGCTGGTTCCAACATTTGATTATGTTTTATACTAAGAAATTGCTATTCTTTAACTGTTTATTTTTGGCTTGCAGAATATGTTGATTACACTAAATTTTACATCAAGATTATGCTATATAGAAATTAAAGGGTTTTAAAAATGTCTTATACGGGTTGTCCTTAAAGTCTAGTCACATAGGAAATCTCATTAACTATATTTCTTTTACCTCCACAGATTAAACATGGTTTTGTCAAAAGAAGAAAGAATTGAACTTGTAATTCTCATTGGATGAGAAGAAAGATAGCAGATGAATTTAATGCACTTCATCCCAAGAAGGTTTCACTTGGCTTTTCCATGGTGGTGAAGGTGGTTAAAAAGTTTAAAGAAACAGGCAGTGTCATGAACAAAACCCATTCTGGATGACCAAATGTATCAGATGAAACAAAAGAACTTGTTCTGAATAAAATTTATGCTAGCCACAAAAAAAAAAAAAAAAATCACTATCCATAGAGCTGGGTGTTTTCAAAAAACTCTCAGCCATATCTTAAAAGAGAAAAAGTTTCATCTGTACAAGTTACAAATCTTGCATCATTTAACAGAGGATGATCCTCATAGACAACTTTGGAGATGTTATTTGTTAATATTCCAATTCAATAAAATGTTCATTTCTTGAAAATATACATTTTTTGCCTATGTGTCCAGATTTTAGGGACACCCTGTATTTGTCAAACACCAAAAAATGATCTTTGTCAATTTGAGGTTAAGAAAATTTGGTCACTGATGCTATAATACAGGAATTCCAAAATCTAAAAAAATAAAAAGGCAGCAAAATATCTTGTAGATATCTTACAGAAGGATTTTTTCTTGGAAATAGTTTACTTTAGTAATTTCATGCCTCACTCAAGTTAGAAAAAAATACATGTGGAAAACTGTAACAAGAACAGTGTTTGGCGTGCGGTGGGTGGTGGAAATAGCCAAGAAGCATTCAGTGGTGTCTGGCAGCTGTATAAGATGAAACAAGGATTTGTTTTGATTTGGCAGACAATATAAAAAAGGACAGTCATTGGGTTGACTTGTGAACCCCCACAGTATAAAACTTGTACACGGTAAACTAAGTTTGTATGAAGATTGTCTGGCAGTTGTTGGTAATTGTCAGTGTGCTTAAAAAGCTTGCTGTAATCAGTAATTTTCAGCACAAAAACAGAAAAAGAAAGTTAAGCATTTGTAAATGAATCAGAAGAGATAAAATGAAAAGAAAAGCTTTTTTTTTCTTTACATTAAGTTTCTTTAAACTTTAAATGATATAAAAAAGAAAGAATAGTGAATGAAATAGGTCAGATAATGAATCAGTGTTCAAAAACATGTCATTAACAACCATGTCATTTCACAAGAAAACAAAGAAAATTCAAATTTAAATTACAATAAATGCTTACCAGAAGAAAATAGGACAACTTTTGTGATTTTAAATGAAGCTTTAAATAGACAATTTGTATTGTTATCCCACAAAGTCAAATATAATTTAAAATCAAACAAAAAATTATGAATGAAAAAATTTCAAGTTAGAACATTTTATTTGGAATAAGAACAGATTAATGGAATTAGATTTAATTCCAAGTTTTTAAAAGATGCTGCGATTTTGAGATGAGGAATTATCATTATTATAATAAGGCATATTTAAAACTCTTATGTATCAGAATTTGCTTTCATTTTGATGAACTAAAATGTTTACTTTTTATGGTAAAACTACCACCACTAATATAAGCCATTGCATGACTGTGCTACAAGTTTACTAATATCAGAATATAAGACTTGTTCAATTTTGAGAGGATTCAAAATTTTAATATCATTTGACAGTAAAGGAAAAAAATACAGATTAATAACTATTTTTCATTCTGCCAAACCAGAATATCATATTCATAAGAAAAAAATATAAAAATGTTCTCAGAACCAGGATGCAAATTTACTGTTGGTGATTTAGTGATTAAAACCCTTTCATCTTAGCATATTGCTCTCTTTGAATTAAAGTAGCATTTTATGAATTGAAATTATGGTTAGACTCATTACAGTGAGCAACTAATGTGTTGTTGTTTTGTAAAAAGATCCCTTTTGTGTTCATATAATGTTATTTAAATTCTTTGAAGTTTATCCTATATATTCCATTGTGGCAATTATTACAGATGATTGAGTAACTTTCTAATAGACTAAAGTGTTGGTTTATGAATTTGGTGATATAGTATTGTGAGTTCAATCCTTGAACAAGATAGTACAAACACAGATTCAATTGAATATTTACTAATAACTGTGTAGTACTAAAAGGAGAACAGGATGAGATATCCGTAAATATAGACAGTAGAATGAGAACAACCTACCCCCATAGATTAAATAAAGGGCTCTGTTTGAAATTTTCTGAAGGATACTATGATGAACAGACATCTGAAGAAAGGCAAAGGACACAATGGCTGAAACCTTATGATAATAACAGCAAAGCTGAGGACGTTAGTCTGAATACATAGCCCTACAGATATAGGTGTGTTTTTTGTTTAGGCTGGACCAGGATTAATCTTTCACAAAGCAAGGTGTATCCTACCTGACAAAGGATTTGTCATAATCATTTGAGGCAACATTTTAAAAGCAGATGCCTTTCCTGATGCCTAACTCAGACACTCATGATAGTCCAAGTACA